ACTGATGCTGTTGGTGATGACGAAACTGACAACGATGCGGATGATGATAAGGGCGATGATGAAACATCTTATGAGTATGCTGGCGGTGTTGGTGACGATGATGATGATGGTGATGTTGATGCTGATGCTGCTGATGCGAATGACGATGATGATGACGATGGTGATGATGACGATGGTGACGATGACGATCATGATGATGATGATGATGATGATGATGATGATGCTGATGATGATGATGATGATGATGATGATGATGATGATGCTGATCTGATGATGTTGCTGATGCTGATGATCGGGCACGGGTCGTCGGGCAGGACGCATCCCCGAAGGCGGCGGCACGCACCAACGCATCCTCACCACCCTCCTCCCCCTCCCCTCCTCCTCCTCCTCCTCCTCCTCCTCCTCCTCCTCGTCCTCCTCTTCTTCCTCCTCCTCCTCCTCATCCTCCCCCTCCCCCTTCACCCCTCGTCCCCCCGCCCTCGCCCTCCTCCCCCATCCCCCCACGTCCGCCCCATCATCCGCATCAGCGTCATCCTCATCACCATCACCATCAGTATCAGCATCATCGCCATCAGCATCATCATCAACATCATCACACCCACCATCGTCGACATCATCATCATCATCATCAGCAGCAGCATCAACATCATCAAGGACATCATCATCATCATCACCATCATCACCATCAGTATCATCATCATCGCCATCAGCATCACCATCAACATCATCACACTCACCATCGTCGACATCATCATCAGCATCAGCATCAACATCATCAAGGACATCATCATCCTCATCATCGTCATCGTCATCACCGTCAGCCGCCTCCTCCTGATCGCCATCTCCATGAGCATCATCATGCGTATCAGTATGATCATGAGCATCATCACCAACACCATCATCATCAGTATCGCAATCAGCATCGTCGACATCACCAATATCATCATCATCAGTATCGCCATCATCCTCGTCGACATCATCATCATCAGCATACTCATCATCATCATCATCATCATCATCATCATCATCATCATCGTCATCATCGCCATCATCGCCATCATCATCCTCGTCGATATCGCCATCATCATCATCGTCGTCATCATCAGCATCATCGCCAACATCAACATCGTCAGCATCATGAGCACAATCGGAATCATCATCCTCCTCCTCAGCAATATCATCATCATCTTCACCGTCATCAGGATCGTCACCATCAGGATCATCATCGTCAACTTCATCATCACCGTCGTCATTATCAGCATCATCATCGTCATCAACATCAGTATCTAAATCGTCATCCTCATCATCACCGTCGTAATCATCAGCATCACCACCATCGTAATCATCATCGTCAATGTCATCACAATCAGGATCGCTGACATAACGTCTGACGTCAGGAAGGGCGTCCCGTCTGACGTTCGGTCTGACGTTCGGTCTGACGTTCGGTCTGACGTCAGGTCTGACGTCAGGTCTGACGTCAGGTCTGACGTCAGATCTGACGTCAGATCTGACGTCAGATCTGACGTCAGGTCTGACATCAGATCTGACGTCAGGTCTGACGTCAGATCTGACGTCAGGTCTGACATCAGGCCCGACACTGGTCTGACGTCAGGTCTTGCGTCATGTATGGTGTCGGTCTGACATCATCCTCATCATCATCGCCGTCGCCCGCGTCATCGCCATGATCAACGTCATGGTATGGGCATCACCATGGTGTCGGTATCACCATGATAACCACTAGGTGTCATCCCCAACACCATTAGCATCAACATCATCGTCATCATCGTCGTTGTTGTCGTCGTAGTTGTAACCGTCATTGTCATCGGCATGACCATGACCGCCGTCATGACATCATAATCAACATCATCAAAAACATCAGCCTAATCATCCTCCTCTCTTCCGCGTTTCACCATCTGGTTTCACCACCGTGTTCACGTTGGTCTCGCCCGTTGCACCACTGTGTGTCCATTGATGTATTCCCTGCATGTATTAGTACATGTGCACGTGTACGCATTAACACATCTCTTCATTCTCTGAAAATTCCGAAATAAGGAATGCGAGACGAAACGGAAAGAGCGCCCATGCAGCGACTGTAAAAAAGGCTGAGGCAATGCTGTTCTGAGTGGTATTATAATATCGTATATCTCCATCACCTTTACATCATCATCATCATCATCATCATCATCATCATCATCATCATCATCATCATCATCATCATCATCATCATTATCATCACCATCATCATCATCATCATCATCATCATCATCAGCACTTTCATCATCATCATTATCATCCTCATCCTCATCATCATCATCATCACAATCACCTTCATCATCATCATCATCATCACCAAAACCATCATCATCATCATCATCATCATCATCATCATCATCATCATCATCATCATCGCCAACACCATCGCCAGCGTCACCTTCATAATTATCACTACCATCATCACCCCATGCATGCCCATCATCATCAAAAAACACCATCGTCGTCATCATCACCATCGTCATCATCGTCGTAATCGCCATCATCATCATCCTCATCCTCATCATACTTATTAGCATCATCAGCATCGTCAGACATGTCATACACATCACCATCGTTACTATCATTATCATCATCACCCTCATCATCATCAGCATCACCATCGTCACCAACAACCTCATCATTGTAATCGACGGTCGGTAACGGTCGGTAACGGTCGGCAACGTCAGGTCTGACAAATTCAATTCGTCAGATTGAGGGCTCGGAAAAATCGGTAACGGCGTTACCGACCGTTACCGATTTTTTCGGTAACGGCGTTTTCGGTCGCGACCGCTCGTTACCGAATTTTTCGGTAGCGACGTCGTTACCGGTCTTTCCATTTCGCTACCGAAAAAAATCGGTCGCGCATGATCTGGGAAGGGCCAACTCGCTCATCGGCGTGTCGGGGTGGGGGGCCCGTCCGCCCCCGATATTCGGGTCGGGCGAGAGGGGGGGATAGCAAAGGGGGGGTTTGAGAATCAGCTCGCGTAGCTGATTTTCTCGGCGCCTCCCGGCGCCGGAGGCGGCCATGTATCGAGGAATGGGCCCCTCGGTGAGGCCGAAACCAGCTGCATGCAGCAAATTTCGTAACCCCCCCTTTCCCAATCCCCCCTTTCGTCCAGCCCGACTGATCGACGTGTCGGGGTGGGGGGTCTGTCCGCCCCCGATCTATCGGACCGTCGAGCTTTCGGAGCCGAATCGGCTCAGGCTGGCCGGAGACGACGGCACCCCGTCGCCGCGCCCCGCGCGCTCCGCGCGCGGACCGCAGGGGCGACTCCGGCGACGCCGACGCCGACGCCGACGACGCTGGCGCCGCCGCCGCCGCCGACGACGACGACGACGACGACGCGACCGGATCGACATAGGGCCTGCTCTGACGGGGGGCAGGGTGGGCGCAAGGAGGGCGTCGCCCAGCGGCGCGCGAGGCGCGACGGCCTTCGCGCCCCCGCGGTCGAGGAGGGGGGAGGAAGAGACCAGCCCGAAGGGGAGGGGGCCTGGACGAACGAGGTTCGGGGTTCGGGGTGCGAGGGCCGCTCCCGTAGCCCTCGAAGTTCTGGCCGAAGCGCACTCCGGGACAACTCTGGGGGGGGGGGCTGCTCGGACTCCTGGACATGGAGAAGGAGCATCTCTTCGCAGATTGGCAGTGCTCAGGCTCTGGCGGCTGCCCGTCCCTGTAGCACCACCTGGGTCGTCGAAAGAAGGCTGGCCCTGGGGGGATCCCCGTCATGCCACAGAAGGAAGGTATGAAGGACTGAGGCCCGAGGGACTCCCCTCCCGCGCGCCTGCACCACGATACACGCAGAACTTCGCCGTCGTGCTCTTTTCGCAACGACCTCGGGCAGCTCCTCATCCCGAATCGTTTCTTGACGGTCCCTGCGGGGGACGGTCCTGGTGCCCGGTGGGGGCACCGGGTGGCCGAAAACAGCCCCCAAACCGTCCGTCGTGACTTTTCCACAGCGCGAGTACGGTCGGGGCGTTGACCTAAGGAACGATGAATAAGGAACGAGGCCCCTTTTTCCCATATAGTAAACTCCGATTTTCCATGGAAGCCCTCAGGAAAACCCAAGGAGCACTGTAAAGCAACTCAGGAACACGGAGCCCCTCCCCAACAAAAAGGGTTCCTTCTTCAGGGCCCCGACTGTAGTCGGCGGAAGGAGGGCAGGGGAGGGAGGGCGGACCGAGGGATGATTCGATCCCGCCGCCTGCACCACCATGAGAGAACTCAGGGCGTCCTCTGGGTCGTCACCGTTCACACCCTCCCCCGTCTGCTGCACGTCCATCATGCGCTGCAGGCACCTCTCGGGCTTTCAGTGGGTCTGCGTGCAAGATGCGGAGCTGCTCCAGATGCTCCTGCTGCTGGTGGTCCCCTCCTCCTCCTCCTCCTCCTTCTCCTTCTCCTCCTCCTCCTCCTCCTCTTCTCATACGGTGTTGACTGCAGGGTGTGCCTCTTGGGCCTCCTCCTCCTCCTCCTCCTCCTCTTCTCATACGGTGTTGACTGCAGGGTGTGCCTCGTGGGCCTCCTCCTCCTCCTCCTCCTCCTCGTACCCACTCTCCGCTGCAGTTCTGCTGTTGCTCCTCCGGTTGCCTCCCTCACCTCTGTGGCACTTACGTGTCGGTCGGCGCCGACAGACTTTAACCCGTTGATAAGACGCATATTGCTTCCAGCATGGACCCCGCACAGTGAATTAGTGCATCTACATATACATGTACATGTGCAATACCAGGAAGCTGGACACACACGCACGCACCCACAAATACACACATGGCTGGATTCACATGCAAAACATTCGAGGGCGCTTGCTGGATACACATCTGATCACATGTGTCGTTCCAGCACTCGCCCAGGCCAGCCACGTCATGTGCATCAAACTTCCTGGTGTAGTCGCAGGCTGCGGTCTCAGGCCGGCACCCTCTCCGATCCGCGCCCGAACACGCGCGCGTCGCACGCGCCCGCCGCCAGCCGCGGCGGGTCAGCCCTCGAACTGGTCGGCCCTCCAGACCCGGACGGTACGGTCGTGCGACGCGGAGAAGAGGTGCCTGTCCACCACGAGCAGCGCCGAGACGGGACCGCTGTGCCCCTGCAGCACGTCACAGCTCCTCAGCTCAGCGTCCCAGACCCTCACCGTGGTGTCCTTGCTGCCCGTGAAGAGGACGTCCTCGGAGTGAGACAGCGCCACGGAGGTCAGCCAGTCGCCGTGGGCACTGGTGAGCTGCAAGTCGCTCTCCAGACTCTGCGTGTCCCACCGCCGCACAGACCTGTCCCTGGACACGGAGTAGAAGTGGCCCTTGCGGCGCCCCACGGCGAGGCCCGTCACGCTGTCGTAGTGGGGCGGCTGCAGCGCCTGGCACGCCTCCAGGGGCGGCGAGGACGAGGCTGCGGGCCACCACTTGATGCAGCGGTCTCGGCCCGCGGAGAGGAGGCCTTCCGCCAGCGGCGACAGCGCAAACACGCCCCCAGCGTGCACCTCATCAAAGCAGGCCGTGGGCACCAGGGCCGCCAACGACCAGACGCGGACGGAACGGTCCTCGCTGCCGGACACGAGCGCGTCCGAGTCCTCGAGGGCCACGAGCGCATTCACCTCCGAGGTGTGGCCTACCAGAGTCTTCGTGGCGGCGAACGTCTCCAGGCTCCAGACCTTGATGGTCTTGTCCTGGGACCCAGAGAACAGCATCTTCCTTGCCATTGTGGCCGCCAGGCACTTGACGAAGCCGCGGTGGCCAGGGAGTGCACCGATGTACTGCAGGTTGTTGAGGTCCCAGATGATGATGCTGCCGTCCTGCGACCCCGAGAACAGCACGTCGCCCACCGCGCACAGGCTGAGCACGAAACCGGTGTGCCCGGTCAGGACCTGAGACCAAAAGGCACCGACGCCGCTGCTCCCCGGACATCTCCTGGGGTGCGCTCCGACCAGAATTCCGGGGCGAATCCAGCGGCGGCGAAGAGGGCCTCCCGGGAGGCCCCAAAAAGGGGAACGCGGGCGAAGGGCCGAGGACTGGGTACTCCTTCCTCCTCCGAGGACCTGCACGCAGCGCTCGTCCGCCGCGTCGCCGCGTGCCTGGGGTTAGGTCGGGCCCGTCCCCCTACAGGGGGATTTGGGGCGACAGATAACAAATATACTCCAAAAAACCCCAAATCCTCGGAAGTACGAATGAAATAATCTCAATTTTTTCCCCACATGCTTCGTGGGGTTCAGGTTTTCTTCCCTGCCGCGCCGCACCCGCGACACACCTCACCCTTCGTACAGCACAGCTCAGCACAGCACATCACAGCACAGCACAGTACAGCACAGCTCAGCTCAGCACACAGCTCAGCTCAGCACACAGCATAGCTCAGCACAGCTCAGCACAGCCCAGCACGGCTCAGCTCAGCACGGCACAGCTCGTGGCACTGGCGCAAAGCCTAGCAGGCGTGGCACTTTCTCGACACCACAGGGGGGTGCGCAGGGGGTGGTCTCTCAGTTCGGCCGCTATCGACACTCTACACTGGCGCAAACGCACTAGCAGGCGTGGCACTTTCTCGACACCACAGGGGGTGCGCAGGGGGTGGTCTCTCAGTTCGGCCGCTATCCACGACACTGGCGCAAAGCCTAGCAGGCGTGGCACTTTCTCGACACCACAGGGGGTGCGCAGGGGGTGGTCTCTCAGTTCGGCCGCTATCCACGACACTGGCGCAAAGCCTAGCAGGCGTGGCACTTTCTCGACACCACAGGGGGTGCGCAGGGGGTGGTCTCTCAGTTCGGCCGCTATCCACGACACTGGCGCAAAGCCTAGCAGGCGTGGCACTTTCTCGACACCACAGGGGGTGCGCAGGGGGTGGTCTCTCAGCTCGGCCGCTATCCACGACACTGGCGCAAAGCCTAGCAGGCGTGGCACTTTCTCGACACCACAGGGGGTGCGCAGGGGGTGGTCTCTCAGTTCGGCCGCTATCCACGACACTGGCGCAAAGCCTAGCAGGCGTGGCACTTTCTCGACACCACAGGGGGTGCGCAGGGGGTGGTCTCTCAGTTCGGCCGCTATCCACGACACTGGCGCAAAGCCTAGCAGGCGTGGCACTTTCTCGACACCACAGGGGGTGCGCAGGGGGTGGTCTCTCAGTTCGGCCGCTATCCACGACACTGGCGCAAAGCCTAGCAGGCGTGGCACTTTCTCGACACCACAGGGGGTGCGCAGGGGGTGGTCTCTCAGTTCGGCCGCTATCCACGACACTGGCGCAAAGCCTAGCAGGCGTGGCACTTTCTCGACACCACAGGGGGGCGGCGACCCACTAGCCTAGCAGCGTGGCACTTTCTCGACACCACAGGGGGTGCGCAGGGGTGGTCTCTCAGTTCGGCCGCTATCCACGACACTGGCGCAAAGCCTAGCAGGCGTGGCACTTTCTCGACACCACAGGGGGTGCGCAGGGGGTGGTCTCTCAGTTCGGCCGCTATCCACGACACTGCGCAAAGGCTAGCAGGCGTGGCACTTTCTCGACACCACAGGGGGTGCGCAGGGGGTGGTCTCTCAGCTCGGCCGCTATCCACGACACTGGCGCAAAGGCTAGCAGGCGTGGCACTTTTCTCGACACCACAGGGGGTGCGCAGGGGGTGGTCTCTCAGTTCGGCCGCTATCCACGACACTGGCGCAAAGCCTAGCAGGCGTGGCACTTTCTCGACACCACAGGGGGTGCGCAGGGGGTGGTCTCTCAGTTCGGCCGCTATCCACGACACTGGCGCAAAGCCTAGCAGGCGTGGCACTTTCTCGACACCACAGGGGGTGCGCAGGGGGTGGTCTCTCAGTTCGGCCGCTATCCACGACACTGGCGCAAAGCCTAGCAGGCGTGGCACTTTCTCGACACCACAGGGGGTGCGCAGGGGGTGGTCTCTCAGCTCGGCCGCTATCCACGACACTGGCGCAAAGCCTAGCAGGCGTGGCACTTTCTCGACACCACAGGGGGTGCGCAGGGGGTGGTCTCTCAGCTCGGCCGCTATCCACGACACTGGCGCAAAGCCTAGCAGGCGTGGCACTTTCTCGACACCACAGGGGTGCGCAGGGGGTGGTCTCTCAGCTCGGCCGCTATCCACGACACTGGCGCAAAGCCTAGCAGGCGTGGCACTTTCTCGACACCACAGGGGGTGCGCAGGGGGTGGTCTCTCAGCTCGGCCGCTATCCACGACACTGGCGCAAAGCCTAGCAGGCGTGGCACTTTCTCGACACCACAAGGGGGTGCGCAGGGGGTGGTCTCTCAGCTCGGCCGCTATCCACGACACTGGCGCAAAGGCTAGCAGGCGTGGCACTTTCTCGACACCACAGGGGGTGCGCAGGGGGTGGTCTCTCAGCTCGGCCGCTATCCACGACACTGGCGCAAAGCCTAGCAGGCGTGGCACTTTCTCGACACCACAGGGGGTGCGCAGGGGGTGGTCTCTCAGTTCGGCCGCTATCCACGACACTGGCGCAAAGCCTAGCAGGCGTGGCACTCTCGACACCACAGGGGGTGCGCAGGGGGTGGTCTCTCAGTTCGGCCGCTATCCACGACACTGGCGCAAAGCCTAGCAGGCGTGGCACTTTCTCGACACCACAGGGGGTGCGCAGGGGGTGGTCTCTCAGCTCGGCCGCTATCCACGACACTGGCGCAAAACCTAGCAGGCGTGGCACTTTCTCGACACCACAGGGGGTGCGCAGGGGGTGGTCTCTCAGCTCGGTCGCTATCCACGACACTGGCGCAAAGCCTAGCAGGCGTGGCACTTTCTCGACACCACAGGGGGTGCGCAGGGCGCAAAGCCTAGCAGGCGTGGCACTTTCTCGACACCACAGGGGGTGCGCAGGGGGTGGTCTCTCAGTTCGGCCGCTATCCACGACACTGGCGCAAAGCCTAGCAGGCGTGGCACTTTCTCGACACCACAGGGGGTGCGCAGGGGGTGGTCTCTCAGCTCGGCCGCTATCCACGACACTGGCGCAAAGCCTAGCAGGCGTGGCACTTTCTCGACACCACAGGGGGTGCGCAGGGGGTGGTCTCTCAGCTCGGCCGCTATCCACGACACTGGCGCAAAGGCTAGCAGGCGTGGCACTTTCTCGACACCACAGGGGGTGCGCAGGGGGTGGTCTCTCAGTTCGGCCGCTATCCACGACACTGGCGCAAAGCCTAGCAGGCGTGGCACTTTCTCGACACCACAGGGGTGCGCAGGGGGTGGTCTCTCAGTTCGCCGCTATCCACGACACTGGCGCAAAGCCTAGCAGGCGTGGCACTTTCTCGACACCACAGGGGGTGCGCAGGGGGTGGTCTCTCAGCTCGGCCGCTATCCACGACACTGGCGCAAAGCCTAGCAGGCGTGGCACTTTCTCGACACCACAGGGGTGCGCAGGGGGTGGTCTCTCAGCTCGGCCGCTATCCACGACACTGGCGCAAAGGCTAGCAGGCGTGGCACTTTCTCGACACCACAGGGGGTGCGCAGGGGGTGGTCTCTCAGCTCGGCCGCTATCCACGACACTGGCGCAAAGCCTAGCAGGCGTGGCACTTTCTCGACACCACAGGGGGTGCGCAGGGGGTGGTCTCTCAGTTCGGCCGCCATCCACGACACTGGCGCAAAGCCTAGCAGGCGTGGCACTTTCTCGACACCACAGGGGGTGCGCAGGGGGTGGTCTCTCAGCTCGGCCGCTATCCACGACACTGGCGCAAAGCCTAGCAGGCGTGGCACTTTCTCGACACCACAGGGGGTGCGCAGGGGGTGGTCTCTCAGTTCGGCCGCTATCCACGACACTGGCGCAAAGCCTAGCAGGCGTGGCACTTTCTCGACACCACAGGGGGTGCGCAGGGGGTGGTCTCTCAGCTCGGCCGCTATCCACGACACTGGCGCAAAGCCTAGCAGGCGTGGCACTTTCTCGACACCACAGGGGGTGGGCAGGGGGTGGTCTCTCAGCTCGGCCGCTATCCACGACACTGGCGCAAAGCCTAGCAGGCGTGGCACTTTCTCGACACCACAGGGGGTGCGCAGGGGGTGGTCTCTCAGCTCGGCCGCTATCCACGACACTGGCGCAAAGCCTAGCAGGCGTGGCACTTTCTCGACACCACAGGGGGTGCGCAGGAGGTGGTCTCTCAGCTCGGTCGCTCAGAGGGCTCAGAACGCAGGATTGTGCATATATATATATATAATATACATAAGCAAACACATAATATTTAAATTAAGTATGTGGGGTTCCTCGGTAGCGTACTTGCTTATTTGTTTTGGAATAGTATTTGGCTATGTTTGGACTCTTTTTTGATTGCTCTTGAAGGACCCGCCCGACTTAGGTAGGGGGGCAAACAAGCCTACCTCGCTTTTGACCACCCTCGCTTCCAAGAGATACCAAGCGACGCCAAACTACGGCATGTACTTGTCAGGCCGCTTGACGAGGAGGCGTATGGTATGACTTGGTTTTGCCTGGAAGCGAAAGCGGGGTAGGTAATTTACGCTCTGATTAGGCCTGGGGCTGCACCGCGCGGGCTTCCGTGGCGGCGGGCTCCGCCAGCCCTGCGGGCGGCCCGGCGCCCGCGGGCCGCCGCCGCGCCGAGGGCGGCGCCGAGGGCGCGCTGCCGCCGCCGCGGAGCGGCAGCGCGAGGCCGGGCGTGGCGGCGCCGGGGCCGCCCCCGCCGGGCGGCACGGGGCCGCGGGCGCCGGCGGGGCTGCCGGCGCCTCTCGGGTCGGGCAAAAGAGGGGGATAGCAAAGGGGGGGTTTGAGAATCAGCTCACGTAGCTGATTCTCCTGGCGCCTCCCGGCGCCGGAGGCGGCCATGTATCGAGGAATGGGCCCCTCGGTGGGGCCGAAACCAGCTGCATGCAGCAAATTTCTAACCCCCCCCTTTCCCAATCCCCCATCCCCCCCTTTCGCCCGGCCCGAGCCTCGGGGGTGAGGAGGAGCGGCAGGCCCAGACCCCCTCTAGAGGCCTCCTAGATGGGGTCGGAGCAGATGGGGTCGGAGGATCGCGCCGCATCGCCGACACATCGGCGATGCATCGGCGATGCATCGGCGACGTTGACGTGGAGCAAAGCGGGCTGCACATCGAGCCGCGTCGGCGATGCACCGGTGATGCGGCTGGAACCTCCGACCCCATCTGCTCCGACCCCATCTAGGAGGCCTAGACCCTCGCGCCGGGGCAAGAATCACGGCGGGGGGGGTTTTCGCTAATTACTTTCGGCCTCGGGGGGGCCTCGCCGGGCCTCGGGGCCGTCAAAAAAGGGCGCAGGACGAAAGACCGGTCCCGGGGAAGGGGTC